TAATGACAATTCCAAGCAAGCTGGGACCAAACTCCTACCCTGTGTTACCTTGGCAAGGAGCTCCCACAACGTAGGACATATTTTTGGTCCTTCAGACCATTTTCAGTTGATGCTATGAATCCAGTTCATCAGRACATCTTCAGAGGGTTATCTTGATGGAAGCCATAGGATCAAGTGCCAGTTAAGGAGCTGATCATCCTAAGGAAGGTTTGAAGGGCTTCACATCTAGACAAAAAAAAAGATTCTGGTCCTCCAGATCCTTCCTCCTGTTCCACCTGAGATGATGCTTTGCACTAAACACCAGTACTATGGCGAACATTACAGYTCACCTTAAGGCACCACTGTCAAAGGAGAAATACAGCACGTTGAATATCCTCACTCTTTGGAAAGAGTTTGTGACCCAGCCACAAATATAAATGTCATTTCCAAGTGGGAAATACAGCAGCCACACCGCTTCAATAAAGCTCACATCTGGCCTCTTAAATACTSGTCCTTTATGTGCTTCTTTTACAGCATTGCACACCCTGATAATGTACCCAGGGAGAAATACAAAGCCAAGCTTCATTGCTCGGSGGTGATTAGCTGGAGTTGTGATCACTGATGGTGCACAGTCGACAGTTCAGGTCAGTTGACACTTGCTGCATCCAGAGGAATCAGCCTGGAGTGTTGGTCTCTGGATGAGTCCAAGGCAGGTCTTGCTATAGGTGCCAGACACACTCACAGGTAAGTCCCATTTTGAGGTACGTTAGGAATGAGACACAGCAAAGGCAGCACTTGGGTGTCCAGTGTTTCTGTCTGCACAGTAACCCCCATGGTGCAATCTATGCTGTAAAGTTTGAAGGCCTCAAGCTCCCCAGGCAGGAGGAGAACTCAGAAAGGCCAGGATCTTGCACAAGGTCTYCAAAGGTCTAGCTGTAACATCCTGGGCTGGAAGGGCAGGGTTTACATGTCAGGGACCCTGAGGCTCCTCGTTCCCCACCACCTGGGGGCCCCGACTTGGCACATCATTCTCYACCATCCTGGCCTTTGCACATGTATTTCCCTTAGCACGGGGAACTTCAGCCAGCTCTGCAGCCAGTGACGCAGTRCTTTGAAGGAAGCTCACTGCAGTTTTTTTCTGGGAAGCTCTTCTTGCCCGCAGGCAAGATACTTCCACCCTGACTCACTCAGTGACTCATCTGAGCACAGTTTGCAATAAATGAATTCCCTGTATAAAAAAAAAGACCTCTAATGAGACCCACACACCTGTCCCTGGGTCCCCAAAGGGGCATATCTCAAGGTCGTGTGAGTGACAGTTGCTCAGCACCAGGCAGGATCTACACCTTTATCGGCACTTGGGTGCTRGCTGATAAGCCCAATGTCCGCAGCTGCTTTGGCAGAGAGAGGAGCATCATGCAAGGTCCTGCCCAGGCAGTCTATACACAGTGATTAAGAATCACCTCCAAGACACTACCCGAGAGCAGCAAGTGGTCAYGGGCTGCTCATGCAGTGAAATGGACCTTCGAGCTGGTCCTGCTGGGCCAGCCGCTCCATCCTTACAGATGCAGACAATGAGAGTCCAGGGCATGGCTGCATCTGGGAGGGTTCCTTGTAGAGRTCCTTGAAGAAACATTGGCAAAATGGGATGTGATCCCAAGAGATGAAACCACAGCGATGAGCTCTCCGTGCTGTCATGTTAACCATGAGTCAGCAGTGTGCCCTCGTGGCCAAGAAGGCCAGTGGGGTCCTGGCCTGCATCAGGAGGAGCGTTGCCAGCAGGTCCAGGAAGGGGATTCTGCCCCTCTACTCAGCTCTGGTGAGGCCGCACCTGGARCATTGGGGGCAGTTCTGGGCYCCCCAGTATAAGAGGGACGTGGAGCTTCTCGAGAGGGTCCAGCGGAGAGCAACTAAGATGATGAAGGGACTGGAACATCTCTCATAGGAGGAGARRYTGAGTGAGYTGGGCCTGTTTTCTCTGGAGAAGAGAAGGCTCAGAGGGGATCTGATCAACATGTCTAAGTTCATGAAGGGAGAATGCAGGGAAGAAGGGGACAAGCTCTTCTCATTGGTGGCCAGTGATACGACGAGGGGTAATGGCCACAAGCTGGAGCACAGGAAGTTCTGTCTCCAGGTGAGGAGGAACTTCTTTACTGTGAGGGTGCCAGAGCCCTGGCACAGGCTGCCCAGARGGGTTGTGGTGTCTCCTTCTCTGGAGATCTTCAAAACCCGCCTGGATGCCGCCCTGTGCCCCGTGCTCTGGGTGTGCCTGCTTGAGCGGGAAGGTTGGACTAGATGATCTCTAGAGGTCCCTTCCAACCTTGAATATTCTGTGATTCTGTCCCAACCAGCAGGCTGGCTGGTTGGGACAGCCTGACCCTGTCCGGTAAGGGCTGCTTTTCCCCAGGGAAGTGCTGCTTTCTGCTAGCCTAGCATGGCAGAAACACCCTCCTCACTCGACCACTCTCGTGACCATGGCCTCACRGGCTGTAAGGCAGGCTCTGTCGCTCTGCCCTCAGCATGGGAAGACAGCGRCCTCGTTATTGGGGTTACAGCAGGGCCAAAGACCCAGCCGAGATCACAGCCTCTTTGTAYGAGGACACACAGCGGGCGACTGTTCCTGCACTGAGCAGCTTCCAAACTCACGCTGAAAGGGCCACCAAAGGGAGGAGAGATGGGGTTCATCGAGGACACCTTGTGTCCTAGGGATGGGGGCTCTCGGCAGAACSCAACTTGATGAACACCATGCTCAGTTACTGCCTGCTGTGCTGCTAAGCTCACAAAACACCGTCGTTTTAGAGGGGCAGATCCCCTTGGAAAAGCAAATCAGGCCTGAATCCCAGTCCCCAAAAGGCCAGCCCTGAGGGCAGAGGTTTGGAGCAGTCATGTTTGCAGCACCATAGAAAGTCGAGTGGTTTCTGATCTACCAGCACGACTTCCCTGGCTGCATTTCAAAGAAGAAAAGGGACAAATAAGCACAAGGCGGATGTGTTTGCAGGCACGTTTCCCCGCCACAGAAATCCTGACCTAAGCAGGTTCCCGAGAACAGTGTGCAGACATACGAGCTTTGAGATGGGAAAGGTCCCAAGATGACCACAGGAAAGGCACCAGTGCACAGCACCACCAGCCTCTCCTGTAGTATCCTGCTTGGCTACAAGATGGCAGTAAAACACCTGGCACTGGTAGCAGCTCCACCAGGACAGCTTGTTTGGGCATCCCATCCTGGAGAAGCAAGGGAAAAGCCWGCTCCTGCTGGGGCCATGGAACAGGCTGGCACCCACAGGCTTCTCCCAGCCCTACTGTGTCCTGGAACCAGGCACCAGACCCTGTGCCACCTCCGAGAACCACCRTCTGCAGCTATATTTCTGGTTCTCATTTGACCATCACCGTTGGGCAATCACCTCACACTCGAGTGCATTTATGTTGCACTACAAGACAGGTTCCACAACCTTCACCTGCCAGATGGAGCCCAGAGCAAGGCCAGGTAGCAGAGAAACCTTACAGGGGAGCACGGCCCCCAGGGCAGGACAACTCGTGCAGAAAGCAGGCAGCAACACATGCACAGGACGAGCACGCTTGCAAAGCCACAGCGTTTTGGCCAAGGGCCTGGTTTTGCTAACAGCCTCACGCCGTGGCCAAGGGCCGCGGTCCAGCTGAGGCTGCCGCGGCGCTACGTGCCGCACGCGGGGACGCGGGGAACAGAGCGTCGCTCTCGCTGCCCGCGGCTGCTGARCAAGGCTTGTCCTGGAAGGCCCACATAAATACCAGAATCCGTTTTAAAAGGTCAAGAACATGCACCTTTGGCTGCGTAGCTAATTTAATATGTCCCCTGAGAGACAGCACCCTTTAAAGCTTCCTGGGGGTAGCAGCAAGGACTGTTGCCATTGACGGATGCTCATTGCTTCTTTAGGAATGGATTTTAAGGGATTATGGTCTAAGAATAGTCTCTATTGTTGTATTGTTCAGTGAAAAGCAATCTTGGCAATCTAAGGTGCACCCCAAAAGCAATCGTATGGGACCCAATTACAGGGAGCTGGCAAGCTGAGCTCCAGCTGGATGGCCAGCCCTGAGGGCACCACCCTGTTTGGGGAAGATCATGGGCCAAAGSTAGGTTTCAAACACGAAGCAGCCTTAGACCCAACAGATTCACGTGSAGAACTGCTACAAGCTTTCTTCGGGGCCAAATTAAGGGGCTCAAAGAACACTTCTGGGAAGCTGTGAAGGCTTCTAGCCTTCCAAGCTGGAAATAAAAGGAATTTCAAATATAATTCTTGGAGCACAGGGCTTCAGCAAACCTGGAAGAAGTTCTTCAAAGACCTTCCTGTCAAACCAGCATTGCATGGCCCTTCCTTCCCCTGCAAGCAAGCCAGAAGAGAGAACAGCACCAGACTGCACGGATGTCAGCCCAAGGTAGCTGGGCAACCCCAACATGGGGCAGGTCCCTCTCCCCTCAAGGCTGCTCTGACCCAGCCCCTCGACACACACCCTGGCACCCAAGGCCCAGGTCCTCCTCCACGCGCAGCTCAGCAGTTTGTCACCGCATCATCTTGTCAGAAAACGGAGCCCCCCCCTAAGCCAGGGCTTGAGTGCTCCAAGCGAGCTCAGAAACCAGAACTGCTTACGTGATCCTCGGGTGCGTCCAGAGGTCATGTTACCCATCAGCCGTACTTTGCTGATCATCTCATTTGTGATTCCTGGATGTTATACACGCCCTGAAGTATTCTATAAAATATTCATGAGACGGGAGGTTCGTTAATACACCAGAGAGCCAGTTCAACTGTATCTGCCCCTGATTAGCATGTTATCCATTTCCACTGCTTATTACTTCATTAAGAGCGGGTTTTGTAACAGAAGAGATAGATTTTGTGTCAATCTGGACAGACCACCACAAGTTTAGTCAAGCAATGAGTGACCCAAACAAGCCTTTCCATACCTGAAATTTTTAATTCACATGGTTGGGGCAATTTCATAGCCAAATCTCTTCAGAGTGCAAGTCTTAAACATCTTAAACCAGCAATAAAAAGTAAAATATAAATTTTTATTTAGAATTAAAGCAAATACTTCAGTATCACAAACACAATATTAAACTTCAAGAAATATACTGCTAATTTGGAGGGAGCATTTATTTGCACAACCACAACATGCGCACAAATCCAGAAAAAGATGTGGAGTCTGAAATTTTCAACATCTCACCACCAGAGCAGTTGGTCACAACATTTCGTACAAACAGTTATATATACTGTAATAGATGTTGACAAAATTTCTACAGAATCATCTTTATAGACAACAAGAAAGCTCTAAGAGGCAAACATTGCAATCTATTCTTCTTCTGATGAGTCTCTCTCAAACGTGTAGGCCATGAAGCAAGCATCTGGTCTCTTGGGGACAAGGGGATGCCCTGGTCTCACAATCTCAAAGCCCAAAAAGCTGAAAGTACGGAGCAATGCAGCTAGAAGAGAGCAGAAAATATACATTTCAGTCACTTGAAAGCATGCAACGCTAACAGAGCATTCCACACTTCAAATGTTGCATCAGTAACTCTTGAGCCAATGGGCTCAGCACCCACCTCTATCATCTCTGTTTTTGTGGAAACAAATGAAGACATGATCAACTCGAAGCTGTTCCTCAGCAAACTCGAGAAGAACTGCAAAACTAGAAGACAAATGAAAGATAATCAATTAACATGAGCAAATATTTGTCCTCTAGACACACCTACCAAGCCCTCATTAGCAAATGCATTACAGGGACAAGTAACAGGTTAAGGGTGCAGATTTCCCCCCACAAGGAATCATCCCTGATCCCTARGTATAGAACAAGCTTTTTCCAACTGAAGAGTATTTCACATCAGCTCCACTCAAGCTGCTATCCTAAAGACAAGCTCAAAAATAGATTGGTATTTTTGCTAGATAAGGAGTAGTTACTCCAAATACGTGGGAATGCAGCCCATAGCTGACTTTTTGTTGCTCCTAATTGGCAAAGTAGAATCACTTGGTTACAGCAGACTTGAAGAAGCTACAAGCACCATAACTAGGCTTAAACTTTCCGAGGAAGAACCTTTCAGAGGGAGGCCAGGAAATGTCTTGTTGCATTTTGCTCTTCTTACCTGTCTTTGCTCCCTTCAGGCAGAGCACCACTGGGAATTTCTATGTAGAGGTTGTTGTTGTTCAGCACTGCTCTCCAACTAATGTGTTTGGCATCTGTAAGCCTTGACTGGACATTCAGAATTCTTGTCCTGTTATTAGATGTTAGTTCTTCTGTTACATTCAGCCGATTATCCTGTAAGATGTGCAAAGTTACCTTTCTTTATAATGAACCACAAGTAACTCCCATTAATAGGATTGATGCAAGAAAATAAAGAAACCACAGCGAATGGCTTTACTCACCGAATAAAATAAATTAGCTGAAAGATTGTGATCCCTCTGACTATTCCCTCGCCCACCTGGGATCTTCAGGGGTGGGTGAGGGACATCAGGAGCACCACCGAGGCCCCGGACCCAGGTTACTACAGCAATTGAAGGGAACCCTGGAACTAGAAAAGAATTGCAGATACAGAAGTCAACAAGCAGCTGTGTTAAGTAAAACCTTGGGAATTTTGTATTTGAAACTGCGATTAGGCTGGGAGTTTGCAAAAATGAACCCCCGGGCCAGTGGAACTCCTCCCACTACCACCTAAGCAAGCTTCAAGACAAAGAAATTTCGAGGCCAGGCATACAATATATAAAGCCCAGGATCCACCAGCCTCAGAAAACACTACTGATATATTTTAACTGAATTTGGAGATCTTCTAAACTTAAAATGCATTTCTAGACCAAGGCAGCAAATAGCTTGATCTGATAAACAGACAAAGTGAACTGGCTTGCTATCCGTGCAAAATACCATTTTCTTCTCCTCCCCTACTTTGACCTTGTAATAATTATCAAGAATATACCAGTCCAGCACGCTAGGCATCATTCCTACTGCTGACACCCAGCCACAATTACACTGGATCTTTGCATCAGCACTCTTGGCTCGAGGTCAGAACATTACATGGAAGTYGGAGATGCCAATCTCCCTCAACTGCTTTCACTATGCAAAGCTCAGACAAGCAAGCTTGCCAGTTTTAAGTCATTCGAGATCACATCCAAGTATCTGAAAACCTCCTTGAACCTTTTCGCCTCCAGAGCGGTTTCACCCAGCCCTGCCGAGCTCAGCGCTGGCGGCTGAGGATGTTGCCCTCTCGCACGTAGGCTCCGTCTGCCCATCTGCAGGGCTGCTTAAGCAAACAGACCTTGTGCTGTGCTAAGAGCAGGCGCGGGGCCGCTGGCCCCTCCCTCTGCACCATCTCTCACCCTGCAGGCTCCTTCTCCAGTTGCGTCATCTCAGCAGATGCAGCAATYGAGGCCCTCGGGGAAATTTGCACAATCGTCCTGTCTGTGAGTGCCAGCAGCCATTTGCAAATGAGCATAAACACGCACAAAATAACCCACCATTTTGCACAGCTCATGCGATTTTTTTTTTAATTGGTCATAAAGCWGATGAACCATCCGTATTAAAAAGCACCTGCATGACCACACGGACCGTACGCTGGAGAGGATCAGTAAAGAGCAGTAGCTGCAATATTGCATTGATCCAAACGGAAAATTATTTCTTGGCTCTTTGCAAGAGTTTCCTTTAATACTAGCATTAAAACTCAGGATTTTAGCCAAGATTGATTGCACATCTTGGTATTCCAGGCTGCCCTTACAAATAAATCTGTATTTAGGCGCCTTGCTCCAAACTCTTCAACAGAAACTGTTTCAAGTGAGTGCAGAARCCCCTCATCTTCTATGATTTTACCTTTCTCCCATGTAGGATTAATATTGTCCAAGATGACTGAGAGGGGGCATATATGAGGTTTGTGTACTATATCTTTAGAAAAAGATGGTTCTTTCTTCAGTGAGCAATTAAGCTTAAAAAAAAAAAAATGTTTCTAACGAACTCAAGGAGAAACTAGTGCTTTAATTCACATACCAGGTCTGATCATTGCTTTCTTTATAYGAGAGCAGATGAGTGTCCTAAGCTGCAGCACTCTACTCGGCTCACCCTGGCATTCTGCTATTTTCCTCCCAGCATCTGTGGGGATCGTTTTAATCCTGCGGTTGAAGTTTAAGCTAAGGGCTCTCCTGGCGCCCTGGCTTGGGGCTCGGCATAGCCAGGGTTACGTAAGGGGGCTGAGGGCCGCCCACGGCGGCCGCGGGCCCTGCCTTTCGTGCCGGGGCGCCGCCGAGCGCCGGGGCCCGGGCGGAGGGGCGGTCCGGTGGGGCCGGGGGGCAGCCAGGG